ATTCTAATCCGTTGGTAATAATGCGGTGTTCTCTAGACGTTCTTTTAGCTCCAATTTTGACGCTGAAATGGCCAATGATGAACCTAAAGAAAGTAGGGTCTTCTCTGTAGAACTTGTCTAAGTCCATACAGAAAGCCTAGACTACGTCTTTGTCTTAGTATGTGGACGACGACAATTCTTAAAGCGGGTACTGATCCATATCACTTCAATCGTATGTTGATGTGAGTGGCGACGACACCGACTACTGTCACATGCTCGCTGAGGAGGTGGCATGTTCTCGTCTCAGCCAGTCCGATGACGTTGTAGCTTATTCTTCTTGCCTATATATCAAGTCCTCTATCGAGGATCAGATGCAAGTGAGCGTCCATTGTAGGTATAGATCGTCACCTTGTTCCTTCGAGATTTGTGGAGCCGAGAATTAGCATAAGATTTCAGCATCTACATCGAACTCTGCCCATCACTACTTCATCGAAGGCTCTTTTGGCGTTAGGAGAACGATGGCCACTTATTTTACCATGTTGAGCATTTGATACCCACGTGTAGCTTGCTGAGCTATGAACGTGAGGCTGGATATACTCACGGTTAGCTTCCTGATCTCTTCCAGGGTAGACGGAGAACTAATTTGTTTGAGGCAACTCTTAATCACCTACCCTATTATCCCGTTTCACTTTGTTACAAAACTTTTGGCCCAATTGACTCGTAGAATGCAATCCGCATGAACGAGAACACGCCCATGGACACATACATGAATACGCTATCATAAATACAGAAGGTATGCGTCAGATCAGCGCAGTAGAAACATGGGGTCTATCCCCTGAATCCATCTGCTTCTTATGGAAGAACGCGGTCACTTTTGATCACCAATAAACCCCCTATCCCTCACCCGGGGAAGCGCCACGTTGCTTCGCGCCTAACTACCAGTAAATCTCTGTGAGAGAATGGTTTTCTTGTAAAGGTTTCAGCAATAGCTTTTTTATCATAAAATTAAGCAAAACTACTCTCAACGACTTTGTCGTCCGCAGATGACCAGATTTTTATTCAACCGGTTTAAGTAAATTTGTTCCTCATTCGCAAAGGCTTGTAGTTTCCAATGGTCTTCGATTAATAAAGTTCATTATAAACTGAGATATGCCACTTCAAAATCACAGAATGAAATCCTCCGTTGGTTTTCGCACAATCTAATATATCTCACGTAAGCTGCACAAATATGGAACTTTGGTACTTACAGCCAGAACTGGCAGTGTGCAGAATCGGTGACGATGCGCTCCGTAAAAGGCTTAATGGTTAAAGGAAGGCATCTGCAAACAGTATTGAAATGTATTGAAATGTTTCGCTGACTGAGAGCTTTTTCCGTACAAAACATATTTGATTCCATCGTACGGAAGCAACAGTAAAAGCTAACCAGGAAGGGCGATGGAAAGAAATTGAAATGACAGGAAGGTCGCCAGAATTTGAGCGATGTGACTTCGCTCACATGGTTGGGTAAAAGAAAAGTTTTTGTTTGAAAAGACTTTCCACTTATTTTCGGTCAGCTAACCAACATCGCCAGGGAATGTTCTTCCACGAGTGCTTGGGACCAGACGATGTCTTACTGTAGATAATTCAGTTTTTTTCTCTTCCCCTCGACCCAGATGTATAAAACTTCCCTCCTCAACAGGTTAAATGTGTATGAATCTTTTTCTACTTTTTCTTTAAACATCCAGTCGTATTTTCTGAACGCATAGAGGATCTATAGTGAAATCTTTATATAAAAATTGTGACGAATTAGTTCAAGATACGAGCGCGAAATGATGCCAAACTTGAAATAGGCCATGACCATGAGCAACATTTACGAGGAAAGAAACCCATAGAAAGTGTGCATAGCCCTCACGACTCGTGAAGGTGCTCCATCGAAGTATTTATGTATGTTTTTTCATTAGGTACGTCTCTGATACTATGGAGGGATAACTCTGCTTTATGGGTGCTAACTAGCACGCAACACTAGACAGACAGATGACAATGAGAATAGTGCTCAGACGTGCATAAAGCTAATCGTGCAGACGGTCCAGTGATGCTTTATGAAGGTTACTAGTTTTACATCTTAAATAAAGAAAAACGAAGTGCAAATCATCTTCGTTTGAGGATCACTCTCTCTCTTTCTTCTTCGTCTCTCTCTTTGAATAGTTGAGCACCATCATCTGCAAAGTCTTTTAAAATGTTCCTCAGTAGTTCCGGTTCCCCACCTTGGAATACTCGCTCCAAATTGATCATGTGTAAGCATCGCCCGACTGACAGTCTCATTTTCTACTAACGGCTCATAATGGAGAGTCTATGACTCAATTCGAATCTTAACACGCGCTAGTCATTTTCTGGTATGAACACGCTTCAACTGCCGGAGTCCTCAAGCGAGATCCATAGTTCGCAAATCATAGTTTCTCATCTTCCACGTTCTATATGGAATTTGTTTTTCACTTTCTCTCATCACCAACTTTGAAAAATGAAACGGTTCGGCTAGACTTGTGAACGAAATTGCAAATCAAAAAATCGTTCTTTTGGTTTTCCCCGAACAGTGTTCAATAAATACATACTCTTTGTTGAACAATTCTCGTGGTCTTGAACAACTCGAAACGGTTAGTTAATAGCGTCTTTCTACGATATCACGACTTGCTTCGTATCGGTATTTTCAACGGAAACATGGATCTCCTCGGTTCCCGATCGTTTAAAACCTTACGCATCACCGAACTCATGGTTTCCCTCATAAAAACATTTACATGACATTCGGGATAAATTAGATTGTGTCCAGGTTCTTTTCGGCTGAAGCTTTGCTTGTGTCTGTGATCTGCCTTTAGCTTCCGCAAATAAAAGGCCATGCTACTTCAAAACTACTCCCTATTTTCTTTCATTTCAAAAATCTGTTGGAATGTAAGGAATAAAATTATTCTATTTTTATTTTCTGCCTTCCATGCTTGTCGAAAATAAACATATAAAATGGTTTAGACATATGCTGCGTGCTTGGAGTTGACGAGTCAAATTCGTGACATGACGCCGTCAAGCGCTGAAGACGAATCGAAATTCTGCACCAATTTAGTAAATTCTAGTGTTAGCAAAGAAATCACTTCTGGATTCCAACTCCTCAGCGCTTGTATATTCTTAGGGATTAACATTAAGTGTTAGGACCATCGCAGTTTCTTCCTTTGCTACCTTCACGATCGACTCGCGTGATTTGTGATTTGAACCTGAAATCTGACGGGGAATTCTTCTAGCGAGTGTACGTTTCTAGGGACTTCAACATGTTCATTCAGACAGCATATTCAGTCACGTATACATGTGGGCGAATTTCTGCCATTTGGTTCTGCTCCTCACTGTGATGTTTTAAATAATTCTTATCTCTAAAGGAATTGTCATAAGATACTTACTTCATTAAAGTTGTCTATGATTCTACAGAGTTATAGAAAAGACATTGATAAAATGTGTGTAAGGAGAAAAGAACCAAGCTTTAGCAACAGAAGCAAAGAGCCGAATGAAAAAAGAGCGTGGTAGAGTTATATGTCGTTCAGGAATTGTCTAAATTTATGATGATTTCTGGGCGCGTAGAACGCAGTTGTTAAGGGTGCTCTGCAATACACTTGGGTTCGACCACGGACACCAGCCTCACCAAGTCTGCAATTCTTACAGGGTCGGTAAATTGGTACCAGACCTGTCTGGGAGGGTGGTGCTGACTAGATACATCAGTAGGCCTCCGCGAGTAATTGTAAAGGCCAGATATGCATTCCATCACTTCTAACGATGCTTGACAAAGTCGAATGTGCGGCGCATCCCTCAGGGATTGATCAAGGTTGGGAGCTTTATCTTTACTTCTATGATGATTGCTGTGCTTTACGAATCGTTTGCGGCGAGAATTATCTTGTTCAGTGAACACATTTCTGCAAAAAAAAACCGACACTAGTGGAGTTTAAACCAAAAATAAAGTACATTGATGCAGTTCGGATAAGGAGACCACCTATACTTCAAATGGACATGATCATATTGACTTTTATGCGATGCCGTGTGAAAACATTAAAAAATAAACACAAAGTGTAGTGTGAAAGGAGAGCCGCTTTCCTATATAAATTGCTCTGCCACATCTTCTACGAAGTTCAGTAGCTTTTTATACACTTCTCTCTGGCGTAGCAAGGAATACCCTCTGAATAGCACGAAGAAGACTTCTTTGTAATTCCCGCTGTGGAACAATTATTTCGACTATTGAGAGCACTTGAATCAATACTCTGCTATCGTTCTGGCCAACGAAGAACTTTTTTAAAGTCGTGGGCATCACTGTAGAACCAGCGAGGTGTTTGCTCAACTGTTTGTTTTGTGTCGTTTTCTTGTTCAGCAATCGCGAGGTTTTTAAACAACATACATTTACTTCCATAGAGAAACACAATACAATACAACGCTTGCTGACGTTTCGGCAGTATCGCCTTCTTCAGAGCCTGGAAGGGTATACTGATATACAATCTATTAGGGCAAACGCTTCAATAACACTTACAAGAAGACGAAAGACTCTTTGGTAATTACATGATCAACAACTTCTCGAAAAAACGCACCCACCTGTTTGTTTTGTGTTTGGTAGGCTTCATCGCTGAAGGATGGAGGTTTTAAAAAAATCAGAAACTCGTCGCCTCCAGAACTTGACGTTTCGGAGGGCAAAGAAACATGCATGCTATTGGAAAAGCTGTAAATTCTAATAAATCCTATCTTCATTAGTAATTTTTTGTTTAAGCTGGGTCACAGCGTTCTACGGTTACCGTTCAGAAAATACCGCAATCCTAGCATTTTATATTTCTGTCAACTATACCTGATATTTCCGGACCTCTAAGAGACATTACTCGCACACATTTGTCAGAAGGATCCCCAAAATGGGCGTGCCGTCCGGACGATGTGCCGGAGATCAATAACTGCCTCCGTGCTTCGCGCTCGCTCCGAGCGTCCGTCGTGGTTGAAGTGGCCTTGCCCTCAACTGGAAGTCGCTCAGACCGTCGATGGCCGACAAGGTGATTCTGACCGAAGTGCTCGAGGCTTCAAACCTCACCGAGGCCTACGCCGAGCTCACTGCGCAAACTCTCTTCAACGAGTAAGACAGTGCACATTTCTTGATTTCTTGGCGTACCTTCCATACTTGATCGTTCACTAGCTTTCATAACCAAGATATTCTCGGAGGTCCAATTATGCATAATTACATCCTGTGAAGCGATTTTTCCTCTGCTTTCATCACATTTCGACCTCACCTACTTATACAAAAGCACCTTTTCATTATTATGGGGCAGTTAACCACATAGGAGGCTTCACTAAAGTAAGTGATAGATATTTCATGGAAAAAAGTAGTTTTCTTCTGCTTGTTTCCTCCTCTTCATTAAATCTAGTAATTGTCACCACAAAAAGTGTTAAATAAAAATTTCAGTCGAAATAATATGGAGAACATTAACTATTCTGGTAGTTCTGACATTAAATTTACCCCAATAATCAATAGTTGTTCCTGAAGTTGATAAATCTATTCAAGTCTCGTTGATCCGGCTCAGGCATATAGATATGACTTGCTGAATCTACACGTGAATAGTTCTTCGATGACGTATCCGGAGAATCCTCCACTGGTACTTAATGTTGTGGAGTCTGCCCCATGGTTGTGAGTGCGTGGGTGGTGCGTCCCTCATTTTGCGTTATGCATCCTGTAAATGAGAAACATTAACAGATTTAAAATGTTATTATATTACATGGAATATTCTTTTTGGAAATCACAGCAGTTGTTATGGCACTGTATAACTACTTGTCGTCCATTTTAATTCGTTCAAGTAATACGCATTTTATGGTAGAGGATCTGTAGCTCGTCTACTGAATGACATTTACGATTTGTCCTCTACAGAAAATCTACTATTAGTTCTCAACGATGCTGAGATATGAGCAAAACGTGGGACGTAAGTTAGGCCATGAACCCGACACACCGTTTCCAGAGGTTCACGTGCCATCCACCCATCCACCACCCTAACCGAGGCCCTTGCTTTGCCTACCAGCCATGTTTTTTTTCCTCTAACGGTGCTATACGCAATCAATCCGCAAACAGGAATGATCTGGGAAGAACAAATTGTCATTGAACCAAGCTAAGCGGAAGCTACTGTTGTATTCACATTGTCTTAACTCTTATCTTATTCCGATTCCTGAAAAAAAAATGAAAACGTTTTCGTTGAGTGCTGACGTCATCATTGGAGCAATACAAAACTGTTCGTGTGTTGGATAACATGAGAGCCCTCCTGTACTATAATTGTATTGTGTTCGAACCCCGAGTGGGGGTTCCAGTTTTGCTCATATCTCAGCATCGTTGTGTTTGTATTTCACAAGGTACCCTGCCTTAAAAAAATAATAGGCAATAAATAGAAAGTTAAGACAGTAGTTCTCATTTCTAGGATGTAGGAAGTATAGCATGCGAACAATATGAAACGGAGCGCCCATCACAAAAAACAACTCAGTGGCAGTGACATGAGTCATGGAAATTCCTCGCTACACTTTTTGTCGTCGGTCGATAGCTTACCCTATGTAGATGCCGTGATTGTCGTTGGCTTAAAAAAGCTATATTCAATATCTAATACTTACTTGTTACTTGATACTTGAATGGTCCGTCTTCACTGGTTGTGCGGGCCCCAGCATAATCTCCACTTTTCGGAGATTTGCTCGTTAAGCCATTTTGGTACCCTGGAATCGCGAGGTCAGTCTGGCCAAAGTCTGACCGAGGTCTTCACCGCTACAGACAGTGGCGGCACTTGTGATCAGAGGGAGTTTTGCCACCATGCGACTTTGATACCAGGACGGTGGTGGATCCTAGTATTGGTTTACTCTTAGCTAGCCTTCCCGATGGAAACGCCAGATTCCTTCTCATCTTGGGAGGCCCTGCCAGGGGATGAATCTTCCCGCTGTACATCGCAATCCGACACCCAGCAACACCTCCCAGCCGCAATGAGGCGGTAAACCTTTGGAAGGCAATATTTCATAATTTGCAAAAAACCTTTTGTCCGACGAATATATTCTTCTGAACTACTGCGATGAGTAGTTGCATATTTGCTGTTTGTGCACTTAAAAATTCGCGCATTACGACAGTTTTCCGCCACAGTAAGAGTTACTATGAAAATTCATATTCCCTGTAGTATATAGAAGACTAGGGGTTAAAGTATATCTTTACAAGCATTGCGTAATCTCAACTCATTCTTATTCCCATAAAATTTTAGTGATTTTATAAACGTCGTGTGGACGTTGTACTATATCTTTGTTGCATTGACTGAGTCTATTTCTCACGTTATGGGATGTACCCCACCAGATTTGGCGTTATAAGTTCAATGGAATTACTTATAACAGCTAAGCAACGTCTCACTTCCTTTGACTGCCGACCACCATCTTTGAGACATGGCTACTTCAAAGATGCAAACGCTTAAGATGCTTTCAGATGCTTTCAATTTGAATCCAACTCGAACAGTCTTCGGCTATGAACCCTTGCATCTTCAGCTTTTAGACATCGTTGCCGTAGTTCCTTCAAAGGTTCAACATAGATGTCTGAATGTTATAGTTAAGCTGCGGCTGTAGTTGAAATCACAATGTTATACCTTTTTATTTTCTGCCTACTATAATTTCGCGGCAGGGTACTAAGCGAAATACAACCACAACATTGCTGAGATATTTGCAAAACTCTGGACCGCAGGTGTCTATGGTGGGGAACGAACGCGCTATTGTCCTTTCCGGGGAGTAACGCGTTCACCACCACACCATGCGGGTCCTTCGTTTCGCTTGTCTCTCAGCTATTTCTATCGATCTTTGCCGCAGCAATCACCCGTCAGCGGGATTGATCTGGGGCGCCCAAATCGGCATGAACGCGTTACTCCCCGGAAAGGACAATAGCGCGTTCGTTCCCCACCATAGACACCTGCTGTCCAGAGTTTTGCAAAGATCTCATCAATGTTATAGATGTCTGAATTTGTTCATATCGTTGAGCTTACACGAGCTTAATATGAGATGTTTATTCGGCTATTTTTTATATTTTTATACGTCTGCGTCTTCATCGGAGCCGACGATCCTTGTCGATGGTCCACAGTTGTTCCTCTTCTCGATGTGGCGTCTTAGTCTCACATCGAACCAGATCTTCCTCAGTTGAACATCTCGAATGAGTTATACTCATCCGGTAACGCTCTTTTATAATAGGCTGTTGTTGTTGATATGATTATCTATTGGTAATATTTTGTTTTTCAACGGATGTTTCAAAATGGATGTCTGAATGTGCACATAGATGAACGGACAGATGTGCCTAAACTCTTGTAAAGCAACAGTATACGTACTACTTGCTTGTCTTCCTAATACATGGAACACACAATAACTGCTATCAGGTCGCAGGTCGCTTGTGTTCAGCTGGAGTTTTCCTGGTTCTATCGTTCTATGACTGCATGGTTTGAAAAGTTGCTAGGGAGAGACGTGTCATTCAACGTCAATATTACAATAATATCTCCGTTGTCCTTCCATTTTATCGCAATCCTGCTGCTGTTTCATTTGGTTCTTTAGTCGTTCTTTCCTTGGCTTTTGGTAGGTAACCTTGGGAAGGTTAATCCTACTTTTTTTTGCACATTTCAATAAGGTGGGTTTTCCCCTTAACCAAATTTTCAGCCAACGAGGAACTCATATATTTGTTATTGGTATGAACGTACCTCCTTTCATTCAGTAAGCTATTCATATAGCTCGTAACCGCTGACCCAGCAACTCGGCATATAGCTTGCCTCTCTATCTTTATTTCCCTTCAATGCTTCAACTGAATAACGCGAGCCGATGTTCCCTTTAATACACTTTCGCTACGACGCGTAATTTTCACCCCTTACGGGTTTTTGAAATAAAAGGTAATTTTTCGATTCCGCCCGGAAAGGGTAATCGCGGGTTCGATTTGGTGTGGGGTCGAAGTTTAGCAAATATCTGAGCATCATAGTGGTTGTATTTGACATCATATCCTGCCATGAAAAATAATTATAGGCAGTAAATAGAAAGCTAACATTTGTGATTTTTCAATAACTAGAGGGATTCGCCGGTTGAGAACATCATGAATCGATTATAGAAAAGACTTTCCCTATCGTTCTATGGGTATGAAAGGTATTTGCGATGTTGTTTACTATATGTTGGTATAGTCCATCAAGCAGTATAAGCAATACATTACAGTCAGTATTTAGAAGTGTTTCGCCTTTTATGGGTCTTTATTTCAGTAGTTTTATACCTGAATATTCTATACGATTACTATCGTCTATTACTGGAACTAGAATTGAAGTAGTAATCGATTAGCACCCAAATTGAGCAATGTTCGGAAAATGGCTGTTTTATACAGTTCCACGTGCAGAATAGAGCATTTCCCAACCACAAAAATTGAAGGAGAAAACTTCAGTGCACTGAAACAAGCCACTGAGAAAAAAAAGTGACCTAGAGGTGTTTTTTCTTATTTTTTATATAGCCTGTTTTTGACATCTTCTGTGCGGATCTCAGCATTTTTCACATTCTGTTTGTTCCTTCGCATTCCTCATCGTCCACTATTGGTTTTCCAATGTGAGGCTTCGGCTTCTTCTTGAGGGTTTTCATTTCATCTTGAATGTCGTATAATGCAGCTCAAATCGGTTTTCCCTGGAGTGCTGAGATAGCCAGGCTAGAGCGTTCCTACTTGAATTGTAGAGAGTGTTTTTTCCCGTACAGGTCCAGTACCAAATTTCCGACCTTGAAGGCATGAGACGCTTGGCGCACTTCCGAGTGGGAGCGAGTCAACACCGTGCCCGTGATGATCGGCTTCACTACCACTGTGCTATCACCCTTTGGTGTCATTCTCGCGAGAGCATTGAACAAATATATCTAGGCGAATTATCTTTATCGTTTGTTACCTTACGTTATTAATTGCAATGTATTGGTAGCTATTGTATAGAATGAGCAGAGATATGTATACATATATACATATACATATACATGTATATTAGGGCGGATAGAGCAGTGGTAGTGATGCTGATCACCACGAGAACAGTCTTAGTTCGTTCCGACACCGGACTCGCCAAGCCTGTCCACTCTCCGGCATCGAAAAAAATTGGTCTCAGTTTTTTCTAGGAAACCCTAACTCTCTTCCATCCTAGTAGGAATGCTCTAGTCCTGCTATGGCAGGACTGCAGAAAGAATCTACTCGACCACCATTCAGTAATAATCATAAGGACATATTTATTTATATGATCTTATAAACTGATGTTCTTAAGCTGACGCGAGGTTAGTACAGGTCTTCGTTGTCGTTGTTTTTGACGTTGTTGGTCGATGGCTGACGTTTCGGCGACTTCGCCTTCCTCATAGCTTGGACGTATTTTATATTAGAATATTTTTATTATTTGGTGGAAAAAAAGGTTAAAGTATTAATGAAGATCAAACTTTCAAATAGACGCCACATTGAACAGAAAGGCCACTCACCGTGATGTTAGGTGTGGGACTGGCTGACACGTAGTTCACGTGGGGTCACGAAGAAGACACACCCCGGGGTCATATCATAAGGTCAGCTGTCTGGAAGGAAAATGTTTCCTCTTTGAGGACGTTGGATAAATTCGAGGAATGATGCAAACACTTCATTTCTTTTGCTCCGAACTGTTAGAGGAAGTTGTTTACAATTTTGTTCGTCTCCATATTGTAGTTTCGTACAATTCCATCACTAGCTCGCGGCAGATACCACCGCTTTGCTGCCATCCTACGTTTTATTGTGATTTCGACTTCAGCTTCAGCTAACTGGGTTCCGTGCCGATTTGTGCTCCGCAGGTCATTCTTTGACGAGTGATTGCTGATATCAGCGTTAGAATAAAAGATTGGCTGAGAGAAAGGCAAAGCAAGGGCTTTGCTTGGCGTGACTGGTAGCACTTCAACCATCGGTAAGGGTAATCGCGCGTTCGAAGTCCAAGTGAGATTACGAGTTCTGCCCATGTCTTAGCATTCTTATGGTTGTGATTCACATCATTCCCTGCCATGGAAAAAAACGGACGGTAAATGAAAGTTGGAATATTCTGCCATCTGTTATGTCTTCATCTACCAATATAAACTTTATTCCGTTGTTTCGATTTTAGCGCTAAACCTCTTTTAAATTTTCGTAGCGCGTGTCTTTTTTTCTTGCTCTTTTGAATTTTGAAAAACGTATAAGTATAAAAGTAGATGAAGAAACTGTGAAATGTTGCACTGCAGGAAAAAAGGATCCCGGAAAATAAAAAAGCACGCATTCATGCGACTGGAGCAAATTTACGAGGTCTCAGAGGATCCTTCCTGGATTAATTAGCACTATTATAATAATTTATAGCCATAATTGATGGAAAATGGGAAAATAAACATTACGGACAGTTCATAATGCAGATGGGAGCCATGTGTTACTTCCAGGCTCCGTACTGTTCGCGAGGATCCGTCCGTGTCCTACTTTGGTTTGGATGATCGTGCCGAACTTGGCGAACCCGTGGACCAGCGCTGGTCCGGTGATACAACGCGAAAAGATGACACTTTCACTGTTGATGATGCCGTTGAGGCACTCGGCTTTGGACGATTTCAAGTGAAGCTCAGCATCCTGACCGGCATCGCATGGGTAAGAACGTGTAATATTCTTTATACTTTCATGTCAAAGAGCTATTATCGTGAAAGATTCATGATGTGCTAGGTCAGAGGTGCTGGAGTCCGTTGATACGTTAAAATAGTGATTTTATTCACATCCCTACATAATATAGGGCGCGTGTGGCGCTGTGGCGCACTGGTCAGAGGCGCCTTGCAACACACACGTGAAATCCGGTTCCTGCGTCCATGGCCCACCAAGCCTTCCATCTCTCTAGGGTGGGCAGGAATTGATCAACGCCGAGAGTTTTATCCTTTATCCTTTTTATCCCTAGATAACATAGAAAGTTTTAATACTGTTGATCATAGATTAAACGTGCTGCTTCTCAACTCGGTACGCAGACAATACCTCGTACACACCTGTCTAGATACCTTCATCACCTGTTTTCAAATCTGACCCGTGTACCGACAATTCTTGCATTCATTTCGCTGACTTTGAAACCGTCATAGAGGTAGACATATTTGGTTGTGGCTCGTGCTCCAATTCGAGCCTGTATTTCTGCAGGTTAAGATTTGAATGCTTGCTGGTCATGGTATCTCGTGGAATGCCGAAATAGCCGTGTTAGAACGTTCTGAAGTCTTCATGCCAGCAGTTTTCGGGCTCTGCGGTTCGGATTCTTCCACGACAACAGCAATTCTTACCTATGACGACAGCGAATGACTTGATCATTTCGTCCTTACAACGATGAAACACGAATAACTCAATATCTTCTAGCTTCCGAGTTTAATATCTCCTAGCTAAGTTGTAGTGAAGCTCCCATGAAAATAAGCACTGAGTTGGGCTTACCAAACAGCACTGATTTCTATGGATTTTTGTAAACATCTGCATGTCTGGTCACCATACAGTCAGGCCGTTATCAAAAGAACGTAGTGTCTGATCTCTTTTAGAGCTGTACCCGATGAACAAGTAAATGGAATGATTTCACCTAGCTCGCATAATTTGAAAGTGTGAAAGGTTATAACAATGGCGGGAGGAGCCATAGCGAGCTTGCCATTAGTTAGTTTCGCCTGTGATCTCGCTTCACTGGTCTACAAATTTCTCGTTTTCTCGTCGTCACTGCAGTCATGCATCTCAAGTCAATGTATATAAAAACCCGGCAAGTCATATGAATGGGCGGAGAATATCTGCACCGCTGCATTGCTATTCAGCTGGCTGTGTTGTCCGGACAGTGAGGACTAGGTGCTCATAGGTAGAGCAGATTGAATACGATGATGGCTTGGTGTAGTCCTGTAGAGGTACGGAAATATCACCTACGGTTGACCGTGGGTATAAAGTGCTAAATTAACAAAATTTTTTGAACGGTAACTCCAAAATTACTCCCAGCGGTTTACCGCCTCGTCGTGGCTGGGAGGTGTTCCTGGGTGTCGGACTGCAATATACAACTGGAGAATTCGGCCTCCCAGCAGGGTCTTCCAAGCTGAGAAGGAGTCCGGCGTTTCTATCAGGAAGCCTAGCTAAGAATAAATCAGTACCAGGATCCACCACCGTCCTGGTATCAAAGTCGCATGGTGGCAAATCTCCCTTTGATCCACAACGGCTGCGACTGCCTGTGGTAGTGAAGACCTGGGGCAGACTTTGGCCGGCCTGACGTCGGGATTCCAGAGAACCACAATGGCTTAACCAGCAAATCTGCGAAAGCTGGTAATTGTGCTGGGGTCCGCACAACTAGTAAGGACGGGCTGTTCAAGTATCAAGTAACTCCAGAGTTATGTGACTGGGCTCCAACAAAACGTTATCAATCAGGGTGAAATTCATTAGAATTTACACTTTTTCCAACAACGTGCTTTTTTTTTGCTCTCGGGAGCCTTAACTTCTGGAAGCAACGAATTCTTCGGAGGTTTTTTCAGCAGCTGTTTGGTTATCGAAGACCTTTCTAGTTATAAGTTGTCACGATCACGTGATGTTGAACACATTATGTAGAAAAGTTCTATAGTTTCACTACTCCTCAACAAATCGTACAGGTAGTTTCGATGTCGTTCCTGGTTATGGGTTAATTTTGCATTCTTTTATGCCGTGCATATAGGTCCCGTTAACGCACTTATCCTTTTTTGTAACCAGAAGGAAACATCATCCGGAATTAGGCGGATTTCTGGATTTTTTAACTTATTCCTTGCGACATGAATACCGTAGTGTCTATACGCGGCTCATCAACTGGCTGGCATGAGTTATATGGGGGTCATTTCTTTCCGATGGTATAATTTGCGCTATGCATTCGACTTCATTAGGCATCACTTGAGGTGGCTGAATGCATATCTGCCCTCTACAATAACTCGTGATGGCCAGCTGATGTATCGAGCCAGTGTTGCTAGTCTACCAGAGATGTCTGGTACCAATTTGCCGACCTCAAATGGACGAGAGGTTTGGTAAGCGTGGTGATCGATCCCATGTGAATTGCAGGGCGTCTCCAACCACTGCGCTTCACGCGTTCTGCTGTGCACTTACTTGTATTTAATTTCTAAGAACTAAAAATGAGGTAGTGAGGCAACCGGTTTACCTAATTTCCTAGAAACAAACTGTTGCTAAGGTTATTCTAAGCTAACACAAAGACCCGATTTTTCTAACTTCTGACCCAAATTTTGTGACTTTTTAAGGGTGATTAGATAGTCATTAAATGTGCATGATAGAAGTTCAGATGGCAGATGCAATGGAGATGATGCTGCTATCGTTGCTTTCACCTGCAGTTGCCTGCGAATGGAGAGTGACGTCGGTGCAACAGGCGCTGGTGACGACGTGCGTATTCAGTGGAATGATGCTCAGCAGCACTTTCTGGGGCAAGACTTGTGATCGATTTGGCCGTCGAGTGGTGGGATTATGAACTAAACTTGCTATAATTTTCATATAGACCAGAGAGAGAACAACGGGTAGGAACAAATTGGAACACTTCACTGAACGATATCCCTTCTGCCTACCCATATCACATATTTTATTCGCTGATCCATTCTATTTTTCTAAGGGGCTAGCAATGTCTTCTAAAAGTGATTTAGATGATGGGAAATATTCTTCGGATAGTTCAGAAACGTCATTTTGTTAAGCGATTACTTCCTTACGAAGTTATGTCTCTACCGCTCTGCTAAGTTCGATTCCTTTGCTTAAAAAAGTGCTTAAGAAGCTCATAAAAATGTGTTTAGGGTTTGGTCGCGTCGACGGTACTCGCTTCCTTGATGGGTGCAATTAGCGCATTCTCGCCGCATTTTTACGTGCTGTTGTTCTTTCGTGGGCTCACCGGCTTCGGTATTGGCGGTGTTCCGCAGTCGTGAGTCTTTCAACCCTTGCTGTGATAATTTTGACATACGAGAAGTGGTAGCAAGTAGTATTGGTGTATTTTGGGAGACCATCGTATACTGATAGGCAACCTGCCTTTTGTTCAGTCACTTCACTGCAAGAGATACGAGCAGGGGCGAAAAAAGCAGGAAATCTAATTTAACTTTTCAATTTTAAAAACAAATGTCTCGGCTTACGGTAACATTATCCCTTTAAGTAAAATCCATCACGATTTATAAATCTTCGTTAACAAGCTAAAAATTCTTTTACTCCATATTTCCTAGAGGTCAAAAAACTTTTCCTGCGTTTATGAAATGCTGAGATATTTGCGAAACTCCGGACCACAGGTGTATGCAATAGAGAACGAACACGCGCTGTTGTTCTTACCGGGGAGCAGCGCTGATAGAACTAGCTGAGAGACATGCAAAGCGAAGGACCTGGATGGTGTAGTGGTGAAGTGCGCTGCTCCCCGGTAAGGACAACAGCGCGTGTTCGTTCTCCATTGCATACACCTGTGGTCCGGAGTTTCGCAAATATCTCAGCATTTCATAAACGCAGGAAAAGTTTTTTGACCTCTAGGAAATATGGAGTAAAAGAATTTTTAGCTTGTTAACGAAGATTTATAAATCGTGATGGAT